GCTGCTGAGGGTGCTGGCGCTGGAGGTGCTGGAGCTGCTGGAGGTGCTGGCGCTGGTGGCGCTGGAGCTGGAGGTTCTGGACCTGCTGAGGGTGCTGGCGCTGGAGGTTCTGGAGCTGCTGCGGGTGCTGGCGCTGAGGGTTCTGAGTGTGCTGTTGCGCGGTTTCCTTGGAGTAGTCGCCTTCGTCCGCGTGTGCCTCTCACCTCGCAGCAGCTGCACGACTGGTACGCGCCGTCAGGGTCGCGCTTCTGGAGCTCGGGGCTCTGCCGCTGGAGGTACTTCTGCTGCCGTCACTGGAGCTGGGAGTGGTGCTGGTCCCGGAGGTGCTCGTACTGGAGGTACTGGAGCTGCTGGGGCTGGAGGTGCTGAGCCTGAGGGTACTGCTGCTGGAGGCACTGAGACTGGAGACCCTGGGACTGGAGGTGCCGGTTCTGGGGGTGCTGCTGTTGGTGGAGCTGGTCCTGGAGGAGCTGGCGCTGAGGGTTCTGGAGCTGCTGGAGGTGCTGAGCCTGAGGGTGCTGCTGCTGGAGGCACTGAGGCTGGAGACCCTCGGACTGGAGGTGCCGGTTTTGGGGGTGCTCCTATTGGTGGAGCTGGTCCTGGAGGAGCTGGCGCTGAGGGTTCAGGGACTGCTGGAGGTGCTGGAGCTGCTGGGGGTACTGGAGCTGCTGGTGCTGGTGTCACTGCACAGCCGCGCCTGTTCTTCGCTCCACCGTCTCCGTCGTCTCAGCCACCGCTTGACTCTGTGCTTCGCCAGGTTCTTAGTCTCCCTTCGTCTACTGGTCTTTCGTTACAGCCTGGCTCACCGCTGCCTGCTCCTTCTCCTTACACTGAGCAGCTAGGGGGTCTTACTGAGCGTCGTGAGCCTGCGTCGCGTCCAGTCTCGCCTGTCTGTTCTGGTCGTTCCGGTCGTCGTGTTCCTCGTCCGCGTCTGCCGTTTGTCCTTGACACCCACCTCGTAGTCCGTCGTCCTTCCTCTCCTCCGCAGCGTGTTCCTCTGCCGTCCCCTCCTGCGTCTTCTCTGCCTGTCATTGCGGACCCCGAGTCTGACCGGTTTCGTCCTGAGCACCCTATGTCAGAGGTCCACTGGTGATCCCCGATTGATCCTAGGGAAGGGTTACAGGCATGTTGGCCTGGGTGGTTATGGGCGCACTGATCCGCTACTTAATAAGCCCTTTTATCCCAGTGGTTAGTGGCTGGGATTCTGACATGGTATCAGAGCGAAGGTCTCGGGTTCGAATCCCGGTGTATGCACTTCGGGCATCCCAGTGCGGGGGGGTGTCAGAGGTCCACTGGTGATCCCCGATTGATCCTAGGGAAGGGTTACAGGCATGTTGGCCTGGGTGGTTATGGGCGCACTGATCCGCTACTTAATAAGCCCTTTTATCCCAATGGTCTAGTGGTTGGGATTCTGACACCCTACTGTCACGCGTCTGCTAGCCATTGTTGTCACTGACCCGTCGTTTGAGTCTGCTGCTACGTCTGCCTTAGTTGCTGAGCTTGTGGACTTTGCTGCTGCCTGTCGTCTAGACTACGCTGCTAGTCTTGTTGCTGAGTCTGAGTCTGTCTGTCCTCCGTCCGTCGGGGGTGAGTGTGCTCTTGGCACGAACGTCCTTGATGACAGGCAGGAGGACCTTGAGTGTCTTGCAGCCGCTGCGCCTCATCTCGTGTCCATGCTGCTTGCCCCTGAGGGAGACCCGGATGCTCCAGACATCCCGACCCCGCGCTCTTACGCTGAGGCGATCGCGGGTGAGTACTCCTCTCAGTGGCAGACAGCCATGGACGCAGAGATGGCATCCTGGAAGTCCACAGGCACCTAAGTCGACGAGGTTCCCCCACCTGGGGCGAACATCGTCAGTGGCATGTGGATTTTCAGGGTGAAGCGGCCGCCAGGTTCTCCGCCTGCCTTCAAGGCGCGTTACGTTGCACGAGGTTTCAGTCAGCGAGAGGGAGTAGACTTCTTCCAGACCTTCTCCCCCACCCCGAAGATGACCACTCTTCGGGTGCTGCTGCACGTTGCCGCTCAGCGTGACTACGAGCTTCACTCTCTTGACTTCAGCACAGCCTTGTTACAGGGCAGCCTGCACGAGGAGATCTGGCTGCGCCGCCCACCTGGTTTCACTGGGTCGTTCCCTCCTGGTACCCAGTGGAGCCTCAGGCGGCCGGTCTACGGTCTCCGCCAGGCGCCACGTGAGTGGCACGACACACTGAGGACGACACTTGCGGCTCTTGGGTTTGCTCCGTCGACTGCTGACCCGTCGCTGTTTCTGCGCACCGACACTTCGCTGCCATCCTCGTGTACGTCGACGACTTGGTCTTTGCCACTGCTGACACTGAGGCTCTCGCCCTGGTGATGTCGGAGCTGCAGAAGAGATACACGTGCACAGACCTGGGTGAGCTGACAAGCTATCTTGGCTTGCGGATCACCCCGGACAGAGCACGCCGCACCATCACACTAACTCAGTCACACATGGTGCAGCAGGTCCTTCAGCGCTTCGGCTTCACCTGGTCCTCGGCACAGCACACTCCTCTGGCTACAGGTCACTCGCTCTCAGCTCCACCTTCGGACGAGTCCGTAGAGCCGAGTGGTCCTTACCCAGAGCTAGTGGGCTGCCTCATGTACCTGATGACCTGCACTCGTCCTGACCTTGCGTACCCTCTTGGCCTTCTGGCTCGCTACGTGGCTCCTGGTCGGCACCGAAAGGTGCACATGGATGCTGCTAAGATGGTACTATGCTACTTGTGCAGTACATCGGGCATGGGGCTCGTGCTTGGAGGACGGAGCGACGTTGTCCTCACTGGGCACTCAGACGCTTCTTGGGTTGACGACCAGGCTACGCAGCGGTCGTCACAGGGTTACACCTTCAGCCTTGGCTCTGGTTCGGTTTCTTGGCGTTCTACGCGCTCGTCTTCAGTTCTCAGCTCCAGTTGTGAGGCTGAGATCTACGCGACAGCCATGGCTGCACAGGAGTTACGCTGGCTCACCTACCTGCTGACCGACTTGGGAGAGCGGCCTCGTTCTCCTCCAGTGCTGTACGTCGACAACAAGGCCGCCATTGCCTTGTGTCAGGAGCACAGACTGGAGCACAGAACGAAGCACATTTCTCTGCGTTACTTCCTGGCTCGAGAGTTGCAGCAGCGTGGTCAGCTTCGTCTTGCTCACGTGGCCACTCGGGCCAACACTGCTGATATATTCACCAAGGCGCTTCCGTCTGGTGATCATCAGCATTTCTGCACTCTGTTAGGCCTTGTGCCCACGTTTCCTCACTTGCTGTAGACTTTGCTTGTACTGTGATCTATATATATACCTGCATGCTTGCTCTGCTAGGTAGAGATCACTGTTCTGTTGTTGTTGCATATATACCCCTGCATGTGAACTGGCCTTGTGGCCCTTTGCTTGTGCTCAGTGTGTGTGGTGACGTTGTGATCCACCCTGAGCTTGCTTTGCTTCTCTTGACTGGTCTTGTGACCCCTTGCTCTCCCCCACTTTGCCTATGGGGGTGTGTCAAAGCATATGCTTGTTATACATGTGTAGGCTGTAGTGGGGTAGCCACTATGGGGTACAGCCCTTTTTAGGGTTTCATACTTGTACCCAACTCTTTCATAGTTCAATCATTCCTGCTGCTAGATTATGACAGATTCGTCCCACGTGCTGCAATCATCGGGCCGGCCCCAACGTGGTCCAGGGTAAGGTGCGACGGGTACCTCAACATCTGGGGCCTTGTTGCTTTCCGGTTCCTCCAGCCACTCGTCGAACGCAGTCGGGAGCAGGAGCGTGAGCACGGGCGGATTCCCTGTGTGCAGAGGAGAATCCAGAATAGGAGGAGACGGAGGAACAGGAGGAGCAGGAGGCGCAGGCGGCGCAGGAGGCGATGGAGGCTGTGGTGGCTCTGGTGGTTCAGGTCGGACACGGGAGTACCATCCGTCGGCGTCGACTACAAAGGCAGGCCTACGCGCGGGCTTCTTCTTGAACAAAAAATGAGTGCCTGTGAATTCCGCCATGGCTGTCGCAGCCAGGCGGGAGAAAACAAGAAACGGACTGCCAAAACTGAATGAAGCGAGTGCAGAAATGAAAGATTGGAGGGGACCCCATCTGAGAAGCGGCTTGGGGTCCTCATCGAGGATAGACGGGTGCCCCCCTGCCTGAACCCGGAGAGGAGGGAATCGCGGCACGAATCTGCTGCGCTGGCAGGTAGATTCCACCCCCTTCTAGATGGTTCGGGTGTGATGTTGCACCCTGGCAGCGCATGACGTTCCTATTGGGCCGCACGCCAGGATGCACATCATCGATGGCAGGTGCGTTGCTCCAGGACATGTTCTGTGTGGTGGGAAATCGAGTCGCGGCAGTTTTCGCCGGAATTTCATGCACGATCCCATGCGCAACGTACACAGTTGTGTTCGCCTTATTGTGGGCTTCAGTTTAGTACTTTGGAAAACAAAAATCGAATTTGACATTTCATAAGCGCCGGCGCTTATGGCCGTTACTCAATTACAAGCGCCACCCCTAAAAAATCATTACTTATTATAAGCGCATATGCGCTTATATCCGGGGTTATACGGTAATGCGCACAACCCTTATGCAACGATTTTAAAAGTGAGAACCCATTCGTAAGCAGCCAGCCAGTCATCAGGAATAGTAGGCTACTACTACAGTACCATTCACGGTTTAGGTGCATCTACCATATACGGTAATCAGAGGCAACTAGCGTGTGTTCGAGTGCTTCACCAGTGTACCACCTGCATAAAAGACCTGGTAAGGCGCTTTGCTTTGCGCTTTGCAAGCAGGAACAGAAAAACTGGAGCCGACTAACTAGTAACCATGCTTCATTGCACGGATGCTAAACAACTCAAAGCTAAGCACAACACTTGGCTAAGTGCAGCAGCGGGCCTTGCCTCTTGACAGCTTGGTCCACATGCAGAGCATCTGGCAGCCCGTCTGGTACACAATTCTACCAGAGCTACCATTCCTGATGCAGCCAGAGTAACTAGGTGTAGGGTAACTAGGTGCAGCACCTCGCCTCCCCTCTGGACAGCTTGGTCCACATGCAGAGCATCTGGCGCGGCGACTGGTAGTGCGCGGTGAGGTAGTCGTCCATGCAGCCGAACTGGCAGAAGCGCCAGTTGTGGATGTAGTGGATGGTGTTGTTGATGCCGTACTGCACCACCCACATGCCCATGCTCACGTCCTCCATCTTGAATATCTGGTGGGGGGGGGGGGGATGGGGCGAGCAGGGGTGGAGGGGGGGGGGAGGAGGAGGGGAGGAGGGAGGAGAAAGGGAGGAGGGAGGAGCGGGGGAGGGGAGGGGGAAAGGGGAGATGAGGAAGAGATGAATGGGAGAATGTAATGCAAGTGCAGGGGGGGGGGGGCAGAAGCGCCAGTTGTGGATGTAATGGATGGTGTTGTTGATGCCATACTGCACCACCCACATGCCCATGCTCACGTCTTCCATCTTGAATATCTGATGGGGGGGAGGGGGGGAGGAGGCCAGGTAAGGGGGTAGAGAGAGGAAAGGTGGGGATCCAAGGAGGAGCGCAATGCGGGTGAGGCTGATGTGAGTGCAACGTATTGACGTATGCTCAAAATCTCCCTTGGGAATATGCAGAGGGAATATGCAGAGGGACTGGATGCAAGGGGCTGCATATATGGCACGATGAAGGCAGCAATGTCCCGTGTGATGATGCATGCACCCTGGTGTGGTGGCCCGTGCTGTGACTGGATGCAAGGGGCTGCGTATGCACCGTGGCATGACATGGTGAGAGATGTGTTGCTGCAACCACAATCTCTCAACCTCCCAACCCCATCACCACCCCACCGCTCTGCACCCACCCGGAGCATCTTGTACTCCTTCATGCGCACGATGAAGTCAGCAATGTCCCGAGTGATGATGTACCCCGGCCCGTTGGCGTACGGCGGGTAGTTGGTCTCTGGCCACTCCTGGAAGGTGGGGGCGGGGGCACAAGTATGGGGAGGGGATGGGGCAGGGATGGGGGGTGGAGGGATGGGATAAGGAATGGGGCCAGGGAAGGGAGGGGATAAGCAGGGGCGTAGAGAGAGCATTGCACACATGCATGCGTCCTGTGTGATGGTGTACCCTGGCTCGTTGAGATAGCATGATGGCATGGGATGGCATGGGATGGCATGGGATGGCATGGGATGGCATGGGATGGCATGGGATGGCATGGGTTGGCAAATACAGCCCACTCATGTGCTCAGAAACGGCCCAATGGCCTTTCCCAGCCGCTCCTTGGTTTTCCCTCTCACCTCACTTCCCTCGGTCCATGCAGTCGTTGCTCTTCTCCTCACTTCTCCAGGCACCGCCCACTTGCCCTCCCTAAGAATGGTTGCTCTTCCTCTCACCTCTCCCAGCCCCATGCCTCACCTCTCCCAGCCCCATGCCTCACCTCTTCCGACACGGCCCACTTGCCCTCTCTCAGCGGCTTGTGGAACTCATTAATGTTGCGCATGTACAGCCCGCTCGCATGGTTGGTGCTGTTGCTCTCTCTCTCCCCCAACCCTCCCATCTCCTCACCTCTTCCGAGACCGCCCACTTGCCCTCTCTCAGCGGCTTGTGGAACTCATTAATGTTGCCCATGTACAGCCCGCTCGCATGGTTGGCGAATCGGATCTCGTCAAACACGGCGTCGAGGCGCACAAAGTTGTCGTCGTCCACCTTCATTATGTAGTTGGTCGATACGTTTCGCAGCTGGAGAAGGGGGGTGCGGAGGGGTGGGAAGGGGTGAGAAGGGAGAAAGAGACGTGAGTAAAAGAGAAGTGAGGAAAGGGGGAGCAGGCAGGCAGCAGGCGCACCAAGTTGTCATCGTCCACCTTCATTATGTAGTTGGTGGTGACGTTGCGCAGCTGTATGGGTGGAGGGTGGAGAGAAGGTGGGGATGGGAGGTTGGGGCGTCCAGCAGCACAAAGTGGGGAGCAGAGGATGGGGCAGTGACCCCAGGTATGGTATATAGCAGGTATATCCACGCGTGACACCCCAACCCGGGCAGCAATGAGAGAAGAGGGCAGCACTCACCCCGAACTCGCAGATGGCGATGGTCTTGAGAACGACGAGGTCGTAGCGGTCGATGAACGGCAGCACCACCATGTCTCCGTACAGCGCCGCCTCCTTGTGCACCTCCACGTTCACTTGAATGCTCGGATGCTGGTGGGGTGGGGAGGGGTGGGATAGGGTGGAGAGGGATAAAGGGCAGGTGGTGAGTGCAAGGGATGAACGGCAGCACCACCATGTCGCCGTACAGGGCTGCCTCCTTGTGCACCTCCACGTTCACTTGAATGCTCGGGTGCTGGTGGTATGGGGTGGAGATTGCAGGTCAGCGAAGAAGACGGATGGATGAATGAGGTGCATGGTGGTGAGGGAAGAAATGCTGGAGGTGACCTCTACGTGGAGGGCAGCACCACTTCCTTCCTTGTGCACCTCCACGTTCACCTGGATGCTGCACACCGAGACGGATGAAATGAGATGAGCAAGATGGGGGTTGGAAGGCAAAAGAGCACTACAAGAAGGAGGCTTTGGAGCGGAGATCAGCACATGGCAGCACATGGCAGCACATGGCAGCACATGGCACACGCTAACGGGAGAGACAAGGCAGCAACTCACCAGGGCGAGGAAGAAGCGAGCAACCACCTCCCCACTGCGGATCTGAGGGTGCTGCAGCCACGTCTTCCTGACAGCGGTGCGCTCGGCAAAGTGGTTGGTGGCGGACAGGATGCCGATGAACATGCTCACGTTCGCGTCCCCCCTCACCACGGGCGCCTTGAGCGACTCGCTCGCCTCCAGGTCCGCCGTGCGCAGGGGCGGGGAGAGTGGGAGTGACGTGGCCACGAATGACTTGAGATGGATGGAGCCGCTGATTGCCACTGCTGTGGCCTCTTCTAATGGGTTGCCCTGTGGTGCGGGTCGGGAGAGGCAAAGGAGGTAAAGGAAGGGTATGAGGGAGATATTGAGTGAGGGTATGAAGGTGGCGTGGTTGCTATGCTTACGCCACATTATCTTCTCACCAACCCCTGTAGTAACTCACCGAGCGGTACTGGAAGGACGCTAGTGGTTGCCGTCGAGTCGACCGACACATGGAAGGGAGCCCTCCCAAGCAGCTCTCACGACGAGCAACGTGCCCCATTCATCACACCCTTACCCGTGTAGCACTGCACTAATCGGTAATGAAACAAGGGAGGCGACTCACCGAGCGGTACTGGAAGGAGGCGACGTGGTTGCCGTCCACCGACACATGGAAGCCCTCCCAGCCGGCCCAACAAATATGGTGGCCCATTCCTCACACGCTAACCCGTGTAGCACTGCACTGTACTAGTCGGGCGACTCACCGAGCGGTACTGGAAGGAGGCGACGTGGTTGCCGTCCACCGACACATGGAAGCCCTCCCAGCCGGCCCTCACAACAAACAAACAAGGTGCCCCATGCATCACACTAACGCCACTCGGTAATGAAAGGAGGGATGCGACTCACCGAGCGGTACTGGAAGGAGGCAACATGGTTGCCGTCGACGGACACATGGAAGCCCTCCCAGCCAGCCCTCACGACGAGCACAAAGAGGCGGTCCTCGTGGAAGGGGAAGGGCCACTCCTCTGTTACCTCCTTGTCCGCCTGCTTCATCACCTGAGAGAGGGGTGCAGGGGCGTGTAGAGTGGTGCTTAGCGGTGGAGAGCAGTGAAAAGGTATGCATGGGCATTAGTGGAAAGCCATTCCAATGCTATCTTCATGATCGCCTGGGGAGGTGTCTCGAGGTGCACACAAGTGCAGAGCAGGGCATGAGAGTGGATTGGGGTGAAACATTGTTCCGCAAAGAAGGGAGCAGAGAAGGGGGAAAGGTTAATCTTTGTGATTTCAACAATATTAAGAAATTCTCAAAACTGATTTCTTGTCATCCACTTGTGAGCACTTCACACTGCCTTCCCGAAAACAGCCCTGCTGAGTGCACACGCTCACACAGGCTGCCACCCTCACCTGTCGCTGCCACTCTCACCTGTCGCTGCCACTCTCACCTGTCGCTGCCACCCTCACCTGTCGCTGCCACCCTCACCTGTCGCTGCCACCCCGACAGCTTCTCCGTGTCCAGGTGGGTGCCATCCGCGCCTTCAGCGCCGTCCATGCGCTCCTGGTCCTCCTCTGTGCGCGCCCTGTCCCGCGACCACTTCTCACACCGCCTCTGCCCGTCCACTGTGGAGGGGGGGCAGGCAGAGAGGGGAGCAGAGAGGGGAGTGAAGAGAGGAAAAGAGGGGGAGAGGTGCAGAGCAGGGGAGAAAAGCAGAGGGGAGGGCAGCGGGGCGAGCGCGGGGAAAGCGAGTGCTTTGAGGTTGATGGAGGGGTATTGGAGCGCTCTGCTTCTCTCGCCCCACTCCCCGAACACTGGCCGCACCTGACTCCTCGTACTGGGCACACCCATCCCCAACGCTGAAGCACAGTCAACTCACCCCCAACGTTGCACAGCAGCCACGCCCAACTCGCACCTCTCCCCCCCTGCCCCCACCTCTCTCTCCCTGCCCCCACCTCTCTCTCCCTGCCCCCACCTCTCTCTCCCTGCCCCCACCTCTCTCTCCCTGCCCCCACCTCTCTCTCCCTGCCCCCACCTCTCTCTCCCTGCCCCCACCTCTCTCTCCCTGCCCCCACCTCTCTCTCCCTGCCCCCACCTCTCTCTCCCTGCCCCCACCTCTCTCTCCCTGCCCCCACCTCTCTCTCCCTGCCCCCACCACTCTCCCCCTGCCCCACATCTCTCTCCCTGCCCCAACCTCTCCCCCACGCCACGCACCTCTCTCCTCGTGGTACGTGGAGGCAAACCCCTCGCACCGCACAGACTCGCCCCACTGCCCGCGGTAGCACGTGTTCTGCTCTATCACGCGCACCCCCGCACTGCCCCCACTGCTGCTGCTGCTGGCTCCACTGCCGGCAACAACACTACTGATTCCACTGCTGCTTCTGCTGTCGCCCGTTAGGTGTGCATGCAGGTGGTATATGCGCGTTGCCTCCTCGCCCTTCACCACCACCAGGCCCTGGAGAATCGAGGGCGGATAGTGGGGTATAGAGGGATAAGAGGGGGGATTGTGCGGGATAGAGGGGGGATGAGGGGGATAGAAGGGGGGATAGAGGGGGGGGGATATAGGAGGGGATAGATTGGAAACAGAGGGGGGATGGAAGGGGGGACAGAGAGGGGATCGACGGGGGTTAGGGCAGAGTGGGATATAGAGGGGGAACGAGGGGGAATACAGGGGGGGGGAATAAGGGGGGATAGAGGGGGAGAAGAGAGGGGGTAGACGGGGAACAGAAAGGGGATAGAGAGGGGATAAACGGGGGATAGACGGGGGATGGGAGGCGGATACACGGGTTATGGACGGGGGATAGAGGGGGGATAGACCCAACCCTACCACGTTCGCCAAACCTACCCTAGTTCCCAAACCCAAACCCAGAAGCGCCCCTCCCTCCAGCTCCGCGCCTCCCCTCACCAACCTCTGCTCCCTCCCACTCACCACCACCACCCCATCCCACTCACCACCACCACCCCATCCCACTCACCACCACCACCCCATCCCACTCACCACCACCACCCCATCCCACTCACCACCACCACCCCATCCCACTCACCACCACCACCCCATCCCACTCACCACCACCACCCCATCCCACTCACCACCACCACCCCATCCCACTCACCACCACCACCCCATCCCACTCACCACCACCACCCCATCCCACTCACCACCACCACCCCATCCCACTCACCAGTATTTCCAGCATAAACGACAGAGCAGACCCTTCACTGCCGCTCCCCTTCCCCCCTGTTGCCACCTCCCCCGCGCCCGCCTCCCTCCCCGCAGCTTCCGCCCCCCCATGCCCGGGAGCCGCGCCCCCACGCCCCGCTTCCGCAGGCGCGGACGGCACCATGCCCACCACCGTAATCGCGGAGCCCACGCGCATCCCGCACGGCAGATTAATATCCCCGCTTTTGAGTTCCTCATTTCCCTCCGTCAGCACTATAGCTCTCTGACACGTCTTGACCGCGGCCGCGCCGTCCGCGCGCGGGTCCTTCTTCCCCTCGCGCTCTAACGTCTCTAATCTCTCCATCTCCGCGCGCATGTCCCGAAGCGCCATCTGCCCCGCTTCTAGCGCCTCGACGGACGACTTTTCCAGCACCGACCGCCGGCTAAACGGCCCCGACCGCCGCTTCTTCTTCTTGACGGCCGGCAAGTTAACCGGCAGAGGCTTCTGCCGGCTCTCCACCTTCTCCCCCGACACCTCCTCCGGCTGCTTCACCTCCTCCGCGCGCCGCGCACCCGCGCCCGCTCCGCCACCCCCTCCGCCAACCCCTCCCCCGTCTCCCACTCCCCCCCCGCCTGCGCCGTCCGCGGCGGAGGCCTCCCGCAGCCCCGCGGCCTTGCGCTGGCGGTCGGAGCCCCACGTGTTGCGCGTGAAGGTGGCGCGCAGGCGGTCCATGACGAAGCGGCGCTTGCCCGTGTTGGTGTCCGCCACCGTCAGCACGTCCATCTGCCGCTCCGCCTCGTGCTTCAGCTTCTCGTCTGACGACTCTGGACTCCAGGGGCTGGTTGGGGTGGGGGGGGTTGTTTGAGGGTTGGCGAGTGGGGGTCACAAGGAGGCACGGCACGGCGAGAGGTGGGGAGAGAAATCGCAGACGAATGGGGGTGGGCATGAGTGTGCTCGTGTCGGCGACCGTCAGCACGTCCATCTGCCGGTCCGCCTCGTTCCTCAGCTTCTCGCCCGTGGATTCTGGGCTCCAGGGGCTGGTTGGGGGGGGAAGGGGAGGGGGGGAGTGGGGGTTGGGCCGGTCCGCCTCGTGCGTCAGATTCTTGTTCGTCGATTCCGGGCTCCAGGGGCTGGAAGGGGGGAACATGGGGAGGACACGGTGAGAAGGGAGAGTTTTATGAGGCGCCTCTATAAGCGACCGTGGATTGCGGGCTCCAGGGACTCTGGGGAAGACATGGGGAGGCACGGCACGGTGAGAGAGGAATGAGCAGTCGAAGCGGGTTGGCTTGAGTGTGCTCGCGTCGCCGACAGTCAAGCGTTCATCCGTTTTGGTAAACCGTCAGGCAATACGCGTCATCGTGCTTGACCTTAATCGCATTCGCTGCATGTCGGCTACAGAGATTGCCGGTTGCGACGACTGCCGGGGTGGATGCCGTCGGATGTATAAGTGACGCCTCGTCGAAGCGTCATGGTCAAGCCGGCGACCGTTCCTTCAGTTATCGAGGACATAGCCCACTCGACGGTACTGGGAACACGTTACCTGAATGCGTTACGTTACCCACTCGATGGTGCGAGTTGTTCTCTGTGAAGTGAATGCGTTACGTGAATCCCCCCCCATCCGCTCACCCGCTCACCCGCTCACCCGCTCATGCGCTCACCTCTCGAGCAGTCCTTTCGGCGCGACGAAGACTACCAGCATGAAGATACCGGCGGCGACGGCCAGCAGGCGGGCGAGCCGTCGCTGCGTCAGCGCGCCGGTAAACATTCCGGCGCCGGGCTTAATCCGCTCGCGGAAGTCGTCGCGGTGGTGGTGGTGATGGTGGTGGAACGTCGTCGGTACCGCCGCCTTCCACGTTGTCGCTGCTGCTCGCGGTCTGCCTGGCGGCGCTCCCAACGCCGTACTTCTACTCACCGCCATTCCTGTGCGGCTCGGAGCTGCTGTTTTCAGATCGTAAGCGCTCTCCGTTTTTAGAAGGAAGAACGTCGACAATAAATAGAGTGGCTCGAGCGATTAGGCGGTCGGCAAGTTTAGCGTTGAATCGAATTCAAGGTTTCGGCATAAATTACGGTTCTGCACTGATCTCATACGACGTGGCAGGACGTGCGGGAATATCGAAGCGAGGAGGATATTAGGCACTGAAAAGGCTTCCTGATCTGTTCTGGCCTGGACTTGTAGCCAAGCTGCCTAGCGTCACTATCACCGTATTATCGACCTCGAGAATTCGTAAGCTGAGCTCTTCGAGCGTTGTGTGCGGTGTTGGTTGGTTGGTAGTTGCTGCTTGTTCGAGTGAGAGCTAGAGAAAAACCGTCGGCTTTGTCATCTGGGCGACAAGGGAACGACAAGGGAAAGAGGAGAACTCGAGAGAGAGCGCGTGGGCGACAAGGGAACGACAAGGTCGAGGCGAGGCGACTCAGGCGAGACGATGAAACGAAATCATTTCCAGGCGCACACGGCCTTACATGTGTCGCGTGCACGTTGGTTCTCCGGTCTTCGGCACCTTCGCAACAGCTCTCTGGTGAGCCGACGACCCACTCGCGAAGGCGCAACTTGTCGCGAAGTGTCAGCGCCAGTCGCAACTTTGGGTATCCTCAAGCTCCAAGGTCGAACCGCTCCCGCTTGCGGCGGAGATTCGCGATGGGCTCCGTAATGCAGTCCGTTGACAATCCCGCCAAAACTCTGCCATGCTCCGTTTTCACAATGTGCGATAAAGGGCAGTGTTACGGGCTGTTTTCACAATGTATCTAGGCAGCGAGGTTTGCACTAAGTTGGCAAACGAGTACAAATGTGAGCGAAGGCATGAGCGGACATTTGTAGCGAAACAAGCAAACGGTAACGCGGTGCGTGCGAGCTAGCTAGTGCGATGCTGGCAGCTAGGTTCGGACTAGTTCCAAAGCGTAGGCAAACTCGGGCCAGTCCAGTGATGCATGGTTTGGGAGTTGTGACGCACGAAGGCGGTGAAACCAGGGCTGATTTTATCAGACTATAATGGTATGATTGTCTGAAATTTCTTACTATTTTCCACAGATTCCTGAATTTTCAGACTTGGTGATTTTCCAATACTGTACTTCAGAGTTGTAGTTTTCCCAATACTGAGAAATTCAAAGTAATGGCTATGCCGGTAATGGATCTTCAGACTAAGAAGCGTACGGATCCTGAAATGCGGATCTGTGCATACTAGGAAGTTTCTGCAACGTCACATGTTGCCGTGCTATCATGAAAAACACCTCGCTGTCACATGCGAAATCTACACTTGGCAGATTTGCCACCCCTTTTCTGGTCAGTGCCCCCATTTTAGCGCGTTGTGCCTTAAACGTGGCAACCGTGCTCCTGCTGCCACGATGTGTCAGCGGGTGAAATTCACCGTGATGGCAGACCATCAGTACGCGCTGTGTCCTGCACGGTACAGCAATGCGCGGGTGACGGGCATGTCGGCTCGATACCACCGACAACAGCCAGCCACCCATCAATTGGGTTCGGGACCATGGGTCCATCTTCTTCAGGTCTCTCTTCACCACGAGGAGTATGGTTTCTCGGCTGGCTCTCCCAGTGGTGTTCCAGTTTGTGCTCTAGTGACTGCGCTCATGAGGAACCAAGAACGCGACCGTCCAGAGTCTACTGAGGCGGACAACCCTAGTACCAAGGAGGTTGTGGGTCTCAGAAAGTGAATGCAACGGAATATTTGACTTAGGAGAGCAAGGCATACAAATAGAAACCCTAAGAGTGTTGTACTCCTTAGAGTGCTACTCACTGCAGCCTACAACCAATAACAACATTTGACACACCCCCGTAGGCTAAGTGAGGGGCATCAAAGCAAGCATGGTGAACAAACAGTCACAAGACCAGTCAAAGCAAGAAACAAGGCAAGCTCAGGGTGGATCTCAAGGACACCACACAAATTCCGAGCGCAAGCAAGCGGCCACAAGGCCAGTTCAAGAGTTCACTAGGATATAAATAGGAAGCACAACAAGCAGAGCAAACAACAAGACTACAGCAACCGAGGGCCTACCTCAACAAGCCCCAACTGCACACAGAACCTGTGGTGGTCACCAAGTGCCAAGGCCTTGGTGAAGACGTCTGCAGTGTTGGCCTCTGAGGCCACAAAGTCCAGGCGTGCCTTGCCGCGTCGCTGCAGCTCTCGCAGGAGGAAGTACCTCACGTCAATATGCTTCACTCTGCTCTCCAGTCGAGGCTCTCGACACAGGAGGATCATGGCCTTGTTGTCAGCGTACAAGGTCGGTGCAGAGCGAGGCCGCTCACCAAGGTCGGCGAGCAAGAAGGTCAACCAGCGAAGCTCCTGTGCCGCCATGGCACCAGCGTAGATCTCTGCCTCTGCACTGGAAGTAGCCACAGACGACGACAGTGTAGACCTCCACGACACAGCACCAGCTCCCAGACTGAAGCAGTAACCCTGAGTCGAGCGCTGAGTCTCCACGTCGTCAGCGTAGGAAGAGTCGCAGTGACCAGTCAACGCCACTGGCCGAGTCCCTCCAAGCACAAGCCCCATGCCTGATGTAGTCGCCAGGTACTTCGCCACCCTCACAGCAGCTGTCCAGTGGACAAGACGGTGTCTCCCAGTCGCAACAAAGCGAGAGAGGACGCTGAGGGGAAAGGCGAGGTCCGGCCGAGTACAGGTCGTCGACGACCACCAAAAAGTAGCGCTCCCTCTCAGGTCCCTGCGTAGGTGCAGGGCCCCAGACATCCAAGTGGAGTGTCTGGAAGGGAGCAGTGGCCGGACGAAGGGAGGAGGAGTGCGGAGTGGCACGAAGACGGCCGGCGACGTAAGGAGTGCACGGCGGCGCAGGCGAGGGAGGGAGCGACAGGAAGACGCGAGGGAGACCTGAGACAAGACGGTGACTAGCCATAGTGCGGAGGCGGGGGATCGACGCGTGGCCAAGACGGTGGTGCCACAAGACGGTCCGGTGGGTGAAAGACCGGCACGAGCAAGACGCAGCAACTAGACCGGACACAGCAACCTGACCGGACACAGCAACCTGACCGGACACAGCAACCGGTGGGGACGCAGTAACCTGACCGGACTCTGCTACCGGGGGGGACGAAGCAACCTGACCAGACGCAGCTACCTGCGGGGGCGGAGTGTGCAGGACGAAGAGACCTGAGTGGGGCTCTCTGGTGAACGTGGCAAGAACTGCCCCGGTGGAAGAGTCCGTACAGATCGCAGTCCTCCCGTGCGCAGGAAAAGTGACTGTGATCCCCCGGTCCTGAAGGTATCCAATACCCACCAAGTTCCGAGAGAACGAGGGGATGTAGAGACCAGTGAGGAAACCAGAGGGGACAGCTGGGCACGGGAGAGTGGTCGAGCTGCGAGCAACTGCTGGTCCTGAAGTAGGATCAGCCAGGGCAACTGGGACTGGAGCCGAAAGAGGTGTGACAATGGTGTGGTCGCGAAAGAAGCACTGGGACGCGCCGGAGTCCAGCGTGAAGGAGAGCGACGCAACAGCAGTCGTCACGGCTGGGCTAGTGACTACACAAGCACCTACACTAAAAACGCAAGTACCTACACTAGCAACAGGCAAAGCTCCTAAGCTAGGTACACGCAAGCCAAGAGATCCGTACGTGACAGAATAAACAGCATCCATAGACATATCAAACACAGGGTAACCACTACGAAACAAACCGGGCCAGATCGGGGGAGCCGACTCAGGCCCAAAACGCTCACGGTATAGGTCGTCGAGGCGACTGTAGCAGCGCGGTGCAGAGTGGTCAGGCCGCCAGCAGGTAGTGCCAGCACCAGGGCCGGTCAGGATCCGGTACTGGCAGGGGCCGACGTCGCGGCCACCGCGACGAGCCCCCAAGCCGGCTGGGCCGCTGCTGCAGCCAACGCTACCCGAACCGCCAGGCCGCCACGGCTGCTGAGGGCGCCACAACTGCTGAGGGCAGAGCTGCTGCTGAGGGCGCCACTGCTGCTGCGGGTGCCACTGCTGAAACTGCCGCTGCTACTGTCCCTGTTGCTGGAGAACCCTAGTGGACGCCATGATAAAGGCTAGGAGCGGCAGGAGCTAGGGACGGCCACGAGAACAACTAGGAGCGCGAGGTGAAACTAGGCTAGGAGCGACCGGTGCTGGAACGGCTAGAGCTGAAACGGCTGGAGCTAGAACGGCTGGAGCGAGAACGGCTGGAGCAAGAACGGCTGGAGCTAGGCACGGCTGGAGCTAGAAGTGGCTGGAGCTAGAACGGCTGGAGTGAGAACGGCTGGAGCTAGAGACTGTAAGTGCGGTTGTCGGCTGCCGCTAGTGGAGCCAGTGGAAGTGGAAAGTACGTGCGACAAAGGGGCTGCAGTACTGACGGCTGCGGGAGGTAGGGAACTGTGCAGGTCGTCCGGCAAGCAGGAACGCGGGCGACAGTTGCAGCCCCCCACCCTGAACCCC